CTCCATATCCATACATCGACCGTACAACTCCACCTTCAGACACGGCAGAAGAGCCACACGGGAACAAAAGGACCTTCAAGTCCACGTGGCAGATCGGCAAAACACCGGTGACAGAGAGAACAGCCGAGTTACATATGCAGCTACAACCCTACCTGGTTAGCCTGTGAGATAACACGTTATTCCGACTGGCTAACTAAATCCCAGGTTATTACTGGTCATATCTAGGAAAGTCATCTATGTATACGGTCAAGGTTATTTACTACTTTCTATGTTTCGCGGCTAACAATAAGAGGGGAAATCTCCAAAAAAGACTTCAGCCATAAGCGGCCGACCGTAAAACCGCATGTGTCCCTTACCTCTCTGTCTTCATAGATTTCACTCTCCAATTCATGATCTACTTCATGATCTCATTTACTATCTTCCAGTAGTACATCCAAACAATGGGCAGTCAAGTCAAGTATGCTTCAAAGAAACAAAAGATATCCATACAATACACTTTTTTCGTAGAACACGCTTATTGTTCGTAAACCATGTCGTAGCCGCCAAAGCAAGCAAGTATCATTAGGAAGACACTATCAAGCGACGATAAAACGCAGAGCAACCAAATGCCAAAGGCGATGATCACCAAACTACGCCTTGTTGGACCTTGTGCTTAACCTTGAGTTTCCAGACCGGAGGTTTCGAACAGTGCGCATTTGCCATCTTTAGAAGAAAGTCAGGATTATTAGACCAAAGCAGCTTGCGCAATCGATCATCGATGTCTTTCTTCTCCTTTACCGTAAACTCAAACCCTCGGTCGTGTATACAGCAACTACACTCAATAATACAGCGCCCAATTCCTTGCCCATTTTTGGTGGTTAATTGACGTTTCTCACAGCATGCACAGTCCCGCCCACCATAACTTCCTTTACTAATACAATACAGTCTTCAACAAGCTTTCCCGGGAGATACCAGCCAGGATTACTCTGTAAGGAATTATAGCACTTCCTTATGGATCCTATACCGAGGAAACGCTCCTCTTTGTAGAGTTTCCGCTGTCAATAGTAACGTTCTTTTTTACTTTCTATAACTTCTCTTCAAGTACGCTAAGTTAGAATTCGTTATCGTCTTTATTTAGACTTTTTTTTTGCAGCTTTATTTTTGTTATTCAACGCATTTTCTCGTTAAACGGTTAATCGGAGCGAGTTTTAGACCAAGATAATATTGATAAAGAGGTCAGCATAGTATGTAGAAAAGACGCTACGGTGAAGCCACGCGTGTTCATCGCTATATCTGTACTTTAGGGTGGCAGATAAAGGTTATCTCCAAACATCTTGGGGGTTTCAAGATATGGATAACGTTGAAGCCATAAGTGAACCCTTCAAAATCAAGAGAAGATAAAGAAGATCGGAATTATCTCATTGTTAAGTCATCATGATCTTGCCTCACTTCCTAAGGGTTCACATATCAGCCGGTGCTAAATACCTAGTGGATTTGACCATTTAGCCGCAGACAGGTACACCTACAGGCCCTACTTGGGTACTAGACCTCATATTGGAAGCCTAACCCATCAAACAGTTAAAGATCATTAAAAAATTTAGGGAGAAAAAGCAAATCTGCATGGCAGATACTGGGAATATATAAGCTACAGTATATCAGAAATATTCATAAGATGAAAGCAAGAGAAATGTAATATAAAAGGAGCAAGTGACAATTTAGGAAGGCACGTACTGGTTCCCTGTAAACCTCCCTTCCCCCTTCTCCTTTTTACAAATGAATTAGCAAGCCTTTTGGCATACAAGGCCCTATACAAAACCATCTCGGAAAGACATCTTTCTCATTTCCCCTAGTACCATGTACCATCGATCTTACCATCGTGGGGCGATCTTCTTGCTTGCATAGCGTATGGATAGACAGTAAGTCCTCCTGAGATATCTATGATCAAAGAGAAGAGCGAAAAGCAGTAGTTGACCACCAATTTCTATAGCCTCATGTCCTGGAATTGGCCATTTGGATTGCTGCCGACGTAAACCTGGCTACCGGGTAGATACATTGCTGCAACGACAGCGAGATCCATGTAAGATTCCTTACTCCCTCAAATGCTTCATAGAGACCAGTGCTGATAGATGTTTTGAACACCTAGACTAGCGTGGCTCTAATCCAATTCGCAGAGCTAGCCACGGGGGATGGAAATTACAAGGAGGACGCCCTTTATGACAAGCTTGATGCCGTCGATATCTAAATCCCGAATTCATCGCCGCAGGCCTCCTTCATTCTGTGGGCTATTTGGTGTGGTATTTTCTTGTGGTCCTGGGTGGAAGAGGGAACTTACTACCATCACGACACAACAAATGCTGATGTACGGACTGGGTCGCTCTTCGACTCGAGCACACTGTCAGAATATACCAAAGATTCTACAACAGACAGCCGTCCATCTTCCAGCCATCTTTTTGAATCCGGACATCACCTACAAAAGCTGCTGGCGCAGCCAATAAGATACATGCTCGATTCCAAGTTCGGATTCCATGACTAGGAAACAATCTTCTTCACCAAAACCAATATCATGTCGATCTCGGCCAATGGCGAGTGGAGTGCTCCCCAGTTCAACGAAGATGAAGCGGGTGTTTGAGCTTATCAATAGCTTCGAAGAAAATATTTATAACGAAATTCCAAAAAGACTAAAAAGACACGGCAAGGCCGTACAAGCCGACCCACTATTCAGACTTGGAGTAGTTGCCGAAGACTTGAAACTCACTAAATAATGACTTGCATCGTAATCTTGGAGTTTCACACCCATGTGGCCTGATGGATGCAGAGTGATCTGCTTTGTTTCATAGTGATTCACTCAATTTGTTGATGTTGCGGGGATTCTCAGTTGATATGATGATTCCGGCTTAGTCGGTTACTCACATGGTATGATCACAGTTCCGCGAACAACCTTTACGCAGATAATGTCGAGAATCATGCACCTCGCAACGGGCACGGGTTGCATATGATACTTGTACAGATTTGAGGCATCGCAGGGATCTATACCCCATACCCGACCTAATCGAAGGTCAATGTTCTCGTCAAGACAGAGAAGGCTGCTCATTTCTTATTCACCGAGTTATCTCCATCGATACCAGCCCATTCCACATACCTCGGCCATACGGAATACTCGTCATTTTCTGCTCCACGTGGAGACGGAAGTTGTCCGATTGATAATGATCGTCGCAAGGAAATTGAAAACATGTTTCCGGAGTACAAGTTGAAGATTATCTTGGATATCTGATATTGACTCCAAGGCCTAATAGCCGACCCAAGCCTCCCATTCGAAGGAATAACCATCCGACTCAAGACAGCCCTCCGATCACCGTTAACCCTGCAACCACAGAGGCTTGGCAAGACATGCAAGGCGTGCAAGCCACCAAGTCTGAAGAAATGCGAAAATGCAAGGACTATTCAAAGCGGGGTAGTCTAGACGCATTTTTTGCCAAGCTGGTGACTGAAGATCCTTGATTTTCTCCCCGAACTTGAAAATGTCTGCAGATCATTGCAGTCCACACGGAAGGCTGCGGCCCAAATCCAAGAGAACACCACGTTGCACAAAGGTCCGCTCTTATTAACTCATTCACTCCTGAAACCAGTCTGTTTCGAGAAAAACAGTCCAGCCCCTCAAGAGGAAGACACGTTCGGGCTATCGCATGGTTAAATGCACTCGGGCTTTGCACATCTGTCTGATACAAATGTCCTATATAGCAGACGGAAACGATCTGCAACCTGCAGTATGAGCTGGATTCCTAACGGCTAGTTCTAGCACTAGACAGGGCTACGGAGTACGGAGTAGGTATCAAGCCATGCGAGTGTTGCAGCATTGTGGAGTCTACTCTGCTTTTGGCTGGATTTGGGCTCTGCTCTCTGTGTTTCACTCGAAATAACATATAGTGAGTGATAAAGATGTTTTTACTTCCAATCCACACATCCACAATGGAACCTAAATACCCGCAAGCCTCCGTGAGTTGCTATTCAGATGTAGATTTCACCTGGTACAGTGATCGGTGGCCTGCATGCAGACTAATATGCTCAACGCACTTGCCCCCCCTCCTTTTTTTTTCCATTTCTGGGTAAAAATCTGAGAATGCGACCTGTCACTTTCAACACATGGCAAGCCACATGCATGTGTTGAAATGCCGCGTGTTAGGGGTCCAATAGAATACAAAATGGCAATCTAGAAGCACAGTTGCATATCCCTATAATATATCTATCTTTTAATTGAGCAAGGAGATCAACAAGGCAGGGAGATTCGTAGCCAACATTACCATTGCCATAACTCTCCATTAAAAACACAAAGTGTCGAAGAAAAAAATATGTAAGGTCTGCCCTTCCGTTACCTTGCATGTCTTCTGAAGAGCCAACCAGCCACTTTTGAAATGATCAAGATGGGATTATCTAATGAGACCCCGATATCGCCCCCCTCTAGGGGTCTGTATTCGGAGAGGGAGCATACACCATCGAACCTTGGAGGTAAAAGCAAGGATGACGTGATTGATCACACTGGGACGATGGGAAGGATCGGCAGATTTGGAGGGTAGATTTGCGACTAGTGATGTGCTTAAAGAAGCTCGGGGTGCTTGCTTTTTTTGTTTTCCATGCGGGTATAGTCCATGTCTTTGTTTTGTGATATATTCAATACCGGATACTTGAGGTCGGGGCATAGGTCGGGACTAGAGTTTCCCTAGGGCTGAGTTAAGTTTTCCGTCTCTACGGAGGAAGAGTATAGAATTCCGGGAACTGCTTGTGGTGGTATTTGGCTTGTGTTTGGTGTTGTGCTGATCTCATTCTTCAAAGCTTGTATACTGGGAAGGAGTACGAGATGACTTGATATCAATTCCAAAATGACCGGAGATTAATTATGTATTCCGACTAGCAACTCATTCATGATAAACTGGATAGTTAGAAACCCAAATGATATGCTTATCATTGGCGCAAATAACGCAACACAGTAATACATTGCTCGCAATATATCCAAATTACTGACAAGTTTATTCGCGCCACCACTGGCCCAAAGCACCTCCGGAGCCCGCCATTTCAATGACCTCCTCGAAACTGATTTCCACACGGAACATCTGCCCGTCAGCAGTGCCGTTCCCACTACCCACGGGAGTCACAAGTCCCCAGCTGAGCAGCTTTTCCCAGGACTCTCGGGCTACATCTCGGCCCCAGACACGGCCTGGTGTGGCAGCAGCTCCCGAGACTGAAGCAGATATCTTTGCGGAGGTCAGAAGCCGAACGTATTCTGCATATGCGGCGGGGAACGAAAGCGAAAGTGGTGCAATGCTATGTGACTGGGACCCGTCGTTTCCGGGGTCGAATAGGGCTGCTAAACGGGTGGCGGCTACCAACAACGCCAGTGGCAATGATGAGGGACTAGATGATGTGATGGATGTGGAGAAAGGGAGAGGTGCTGGGTCGGGGCAATCAAGGGATTGGGAAGCGAAGCTTTTCGGGGTTGGGACTTCGGGCATGGGCGTGTCGGCGGTTGATACACTTTGTAGCAAGTCGCTGATGGGGAGAAGCGCGCTGTTGAAAAACTCCTTTACTGATTTGGTTTGGTTGTAGATGCGCTTGAGGTGGAATTGGAATTCTTTGTCATTCCACATATGCTGTTTTCAAGAGCGAGGTTTAGCAAAAGTTCAATTGACTGGATAAAGGGAAACATGACAGATCTTACCTTCAAATATTCCTTCCACCCCTCTAGCAGTGTATTCCATTTGTTCGACTCCACTAGAGTGTGTTCAGATCCAAGTTCATCTGCAATATCAGTCATTTCGGCATTACTGAGATCCAGGCTCCCTAGGCAGATATCTGAAAAGGTGTCGAAGGAGCGAGGTAGAGGAACATAAGTATATCGATGACTAAATCGACTCTTGACACGCTTCTCAAGCATTTCAGTTACGTCGACTTTTGTCGTGAGCCCAATGACCGCGATGGGGGCTTTGCGGGCCTGGGCAATATCAAACAGATTATACAACAGAGTCTGTCGCGGGTGGGTGACGAATAGGTCGAACTCATCCAACAAAATCACGATAGATTTCGCAGCAGTCTTTGACCCTGGGTCCCCAGAAGCCCCAAAGAGCTCCTCTGGGTGCGACAATAGAGCCAAGAGTGTGGCCATCGTATCCGCATAAGAACTGACCTTGGCCGCATCTTCCTCGGTATGCATCTCACGGCCAAGTTGGCGCCACATCTCGCGCAAAGCAAGACGGTCATCTGTGTGTAAGAATCCATTGAGACGAACGACGTGGAAATCGTTGCTGTGATCCTTTTTAAGGGACGAAATGATGGATTCCACAATCGCGGTCTTGCCGCACCCTCTGGATCCAAGAAGAAGCATGGAGTTACCCTCGCCGATGGAAACCGTCTGTTCAATGAGCTGATGAACTTTTTGGTATTCAGATTCTAGTCCTTGCACTGGAATCTGCCGTTTCCCTGATAGCTTTTCGAGTAGAATAGTCGAGAGAATACGCATTTCGTCCTCAAGCCCCGTCTGACAGAGCGCTTGGAAGTTTTCAGCATACTCTGGCATTGGCTCGGAGACATCGGCGGTCTCAGGCACCTCCGGCTGGTAATACAGATCTTCCTGGAGTTGCATGGTAACGAGGTCATCCAAGCCGTCCTGATACTCAGGCGAAGGCGACTTTTCTTTCGGCTCTGCGACCAAGGCTTTCTTGGATCTGGACTTCGCGGTAGTTCTCGCGGTAGTCCTTGTTGTGGTTCTCGCGGCGGGTCTCGCGGTAGTTTTCTTCGATCTGTTCCTTGTGGTTGTACGAGGGGCGGGTTCCGGGGAAGACTCGTCGAGGTCCATGTCATCTTCATCATCGTCATCGTCATCCTCCTCCTCTTCTTCAGAATCGGGCTCGTCTTCGTCTTCCACTGGAGATTGGCGCGGCTTTTGCACACTTCGGTTGGCGCGCGCGCTTCGCGAAGGAGTATTTGCTGGTTTTCTCCTCGATGATGGGGTTACGGCTTCCTCCTCGTACCTTTTTGGCGTTTTGCGCTGCCGTCCGCTTGACCGTGTCCCAACGCGTGCCGGGGTTTGTGACTCGTCTTTCTCGTCGCCATCTTGGCCCGTCGTTGCAGAGTCTGGTTTGTCTTCGCCGCGGAGAGATCGACGCCGTGATGCACTTTTCACCGGCGTGGGAGAAGTTCTGTTGTTGTTGGGAGATGACGGGACGGAGAATACATCTTGATTATCATTTCCCATCTCGATGTCTCCATCATCGTCCTCGGAGACCCTTCTCCTCTTAGTTGCTCGGGTATCTTTCATGGCTGTAGTTTGAAGAAATGGAATCGCTGGTATCGGGGAGTTTCCAATTCGACGAAAATGTATTTCCTTCAGGGCAAAGAAATCGAAGTGGGGATCATTGGTGGTTGTCCTGTCGAATAAGTGTTTGCGCCTGTGTCAATTAAAATCAGATTCCATCAATGCTGTTTATTGCCGACCAGCTTGAACTCAGGAGCTCGCCCGAAAGCATTGACGTACAATTGTGAGAAACTCAATGGCGCATCCGTTGTTGATCAAGGCCAACAAGCGCAGCTCGTCTGAATCAACTTGGAACAGAAGTCCTGCGTGATTCTGGTTCAGTTGCGTTCAAAAGGGTCGGCCGGACAACAAATTGACCGATTTTCGCCTCAGGCCGAGACGCGTGACGCGAAGTCAGGTGTTTCACTCCCAAGGAGTCTTCCCTTGAGATTTGGGATTTATTTTCTTGTCTTGAGGTATCCTTGAAATTGTTCTTTGGCTTGAACTTGGTATGTGTTCTTGAATATCTCCTTGACTTGATGGATTGTAAAGATCGCATCTTGTGGCCTACAACTTGCCCAACATACTACAAAACAAAACATAAAAGACAGAAAGGCGAACATAGCTATGGATAGTATATCCAATTCAAGCATCGTATCTATCCAAGCACATCTGATCCGTTCGGTGTACCGATTTCACAACAGCCGAGGTCCAATATCTGTTATCCCGAGCTACGGTACTTAGCTATTTCGACTTCCAACAATACTTCTTCCCCCAAATTCATTTGATTTTTATTTGCCATTCCTTTCAGAGATCATGTCAGATAACGCAATAAGCGCCCCATCCAGGGAATTGGACGAGTTCGAGAAGCTCGTCTACGAGTATACGGGACGAATGGGCGTGGGGAGCGAGGGAGTAAGTACCATGTGCAGCAACATAAATCATATGAACTGCATCTCCTATCTACGCACCTCTACTACACATAATTGAATTCCAGCGCTTACTCTTATCCCAACTTCAAAGCATTGGGATGTCGATGCCCGCGGCTGTAATCTCCGCTTCGAATCCGCAACGCGCGGTCCTCCGGCAACAGTCTCGTTCCTTTTGACGATTACTCCTGCACTGAGCAATTACATGGGTAACCTCCATGGAGGCTGTGCTGCTACTTTGATCGATGTTCTTTCAACCACTATCTTGTTGGGCGTTTCCGAGCCGGGCAGGTTTGCTCTCGGAGGTGTCAGTCGCAACCTCAAGGTGACCTATCTGCGTCCTGTACCTACGGGGATGGAGGTGCGTCTCGTTTGTGAGATTGTGCATGTTGGCAAGCGGTTGGCATTGCTTCGGGCTGAGATTCAGAAGGCGGAGAGTGGTGATGTTTGTGTGGTTGGTGAACATGAGAAGGCCAATACCGACCCGGAGGTGACGCAGAGGATTTGATTTAGTTTTGATGGATATCAATTGTATAGATTTCATTTGCATCAATCTAGTTGCCAAATTCTAGCCATTGTAGGAGCGAAGAGAATGTAATCTATGGCTGTGGTGACCAGAAATATTGTGCTTCGTTTGTTATGGATAGGGAAGGGCGCACAAAGAACAGACTATCGCACATGCCCAAGAGAAATATAATCAACCAATCTAAGTAGTACTAGATTATGCGATTGTCAAGGCGAGGATGTCTTTTTACTCGGTGGCCAGTTGCTGGTCTTCCCGGAGACCCTCGACCTTCAACTCCTCGCCAGTGGCACGGCGGTACACATCACGGACATCATCTGGGAGATATGGTTAGTAAGCAATTGATATATTTCTAATCATGGAATAGCTTACCGGTTGTAGTCTCGAAGTGTGATGTGGAGTCATAGCTCTTAGAAATGAAGATGTTGGACTCCGAGCCATCATCGGTGGGCTCGTAGAGAGGGATGGGGGGACCCATGAACTTCTCTTCAATCTTGCCCAGGCGCTCGAAGCCAGCCTCAAGCTCAAGGTGGTGGTTGGCATCGTTCTCGGCGATAGTGGACACGATGGCGATGTAGTAGCCCTTGGGGCAGACGTTATGAGCGGACGAGACCATGGCAATGTAAATGTCTGGAGAGGTTAGGGCACTGTCCATAAATCGGGGCCGTATAAAACTCACCATGCTTGCGTCCAACCTGGGACTGGGGAATGATCAGTTGTACAGAGTCGCTGCTGTCGGTCTTATCGATAGGGTGGTTCAGAATACAGATAGCCTTCAGCAGGTATCCGGTGACCTTGGACTTGCTCGGGAAGTAAGAAGGATCGGCGATGATCTTCTTGGTCTTGGTCTCGAACTTCATGGCCTCGGATTGGTTGTCCCGGTCCTTCATGGTCGCCTTGATGCCGGAAACCTTGCCATTCTCGTAAAGCACCTCGTCAATGTCGGTGTTCAGCATGTAGGTACCGCCGTAAATAGCGGACAGACGAGCAAAGCCCTGGGGCAGCTCGCCAAGGCCGTAGAGAGGGTAGATGTAAGGCGATTTTCCGTAGCGTGCCATGGAGTTGACGTATAGGCGGATGCGGTTAATGGTTTCGACGGCGGCGCCGCTCTTGTTGATATATTCGTCCGATGGGTACAAAGCCATAGAGTGACCAACGAAGTCGCGAGTGTTATCCTCGAGGCCAAATTTGTCGTAAACCTCCTTCATCGTGCAAGTATGGATGTTCAATCCTGATCTCCATTAGCTATTCGCTTTGATAAACTGCCGAACTGAGGTTGCAAATACTCACCCTGGTGGCTGGCTGGGTCATCCTCCTTGAAATCACCAACCCACTCGAGGAACTTCTTGGCACGGCGCTTCTCGAACATGCCCATGAGCGATGAGCGGAGAGCTTCACCGGCATCAGAGGGCACCTTGGCCACGGTCGCCTTGGGACCCTTGCCTTGCTGGACATAGCTGCCAGCAATCTGCTTGAACTCGAGGTACCGAGTAACGTCTGTAGACACCAGAATATTGGTCAACTCTCCATTGGACATGAGCAGCTTGGGGACCAAGTCGATGTTCCAGTCATTGACCCTCCCGTATTTCTTCCATGGCTCCTCGCCGGGGCGGACGTTGCCGTATTTCTTGAACAACTGCAGATGGTGTCAATAGTGTAAGTCGAGCATTAATTGGGTGCACATACTGCTTCGATATTGATGGAAGCTGCTTCTCTGTGGCCATTGTGAGCTATTTTGATCTTGGTGCCGTCATCGCGAGCTTCTCCGCCTGACTTACCCTCCATAGTGATCATTGCGATCGATGTGAAGGACCTTGTTACCCTTCACACTAAGGACACTGTAGTTGAAAACAATGAGAAAAATGTTGGAATCATTAAAATTCTAGCTCAAAGACCTACCCAGACAAAACACACTCGGTCAGGCCTGAAAGAATTGGTCAGTGTTGACTTAGAGGGGGGGTGGCGGGGTTAGCAACATACCAGTGCCGAGCACCACAACATCGTATTCTGGGGCGATCTCGTCCATAATGAATATGGAAGATACTAGTGGAGGAAGATAGAAAGTTTCAAAAGAATGAGAAGAAGAGAAAGTTGAACTATCACCCCGCGGACGAAGCGGTAAGAAAGGGGAACTAGTTGACGGATCCGCCACTAGTGAGTTACCTCACGATATTAATGACATGCAAGCATTTGGCTTCAATGAGCCCCTGAATATGTATATGAATTATTTTTTTCCTTCTCAGGGGTAAATATAATCGGCCCTTATTCTTAGGTGCAGGTATAAATTAAAATGAAGCTTATAGTATCGGACGATGAACCATCTCTCATATATCCTATGTATGCTTTGACATGCGCACTGCTAGAATCACCTTAAAAAAAGCTAATGTTACATACTAAATTGACCCTTGGAGACTCGGCTTAAGTCTCCCTCGACCGGGCGTGTGTCGACACCCTCTTCTCATGTTTATTGCTCCTTGTCTTGGACTGCTCCATTGCTCTCCTGCTCGACCTCAACGTCATCGAGTCCGTAAAAGTTCTCAGGGCGGTATCCACGCTTGTACGTTCGTGAGGCATCCTCCCAAGCATACCAGCGCTCACGGAGAACGTGCTTGATGTTCTTCATGGTGCTTCGAACCTAATATTATCAAATGGGTTAGTCGGGTTTAGATAACTTCAACCGCCGATTGATGGTCGTCTTGGAAGGAACGGAGAAAATTGTTGTAGTCTCCATGTAGCTTCCCAAGATATATAGCTGAATGAGATGGCTTTTACAGCCGGGGCAAAACTCACCACTTTGTCCCGTTCTTGAGATTCGTATTGTCCGTAGCCGGCCTGGATTCTCTCTCTCTCGAAATCCGATGTGATAATGCGGTTTCGTTCCCGGACGCATACGTGCCACAGACCGTGAAGATCCTCCCAACTCTTTTCGCGGAGTTCTTGGATAGCCCATGGACGACCTAGATTGCTAACATCAGTACTGCCCGTAGAACAATCATTCTATAGATTTGAGATCAATCAAACTAACCATGAGCGTTGTCATAATCTGGGGTAGGCAATGCTTCCCGGTTAGGGGGGAAGAAGCCCCAGAGTCCATGGTTGGGGTTTGTTTCCCGTGGCTGCATATCTTCCGGTGACACCGGTTTGGGCAATGGCCATCTTGACACGGTGAAGGGAGTTCTGGGACCGGTGCGATTGATAGCCGATACACCACGGTTTTTGCTCTTGTCGCGTCGAGGGTTGGCGCTGACGGAGGCAGTGGAAGAAAAGCTCGAAGACTGAATGGCTGACAGGGTCACGGAAGGGTGAAGTGATGGTGCGAGGTAAGTGGGAGGCAATTCAGCCATAGCCAGCCCTCTGAGGCGGCTAGCAATGCGTGGAACCTGCTGCATGACTGTGATGGCTTTCCCCAGGATGGTCGGGATCGGAGATTGATGGCCTTTTTCGCAAAGGCGGCAAGGCTAGTCACGTGTCGCAACTAACTCAAAGACCAGCTTAGATGTTACCAGCCTCGAGTTCATCGGGTTCTTCACGTTTTTTTTCCCCAAGTCATTTTGTTTGTTTTACGTCCATCTTCAACTCAAGAAGAAAACGGCAATCCAAAGTACCTTTCTCAAAAATATCTTTACTGCTTTACCTCTTTAGGCGTCGCGACGCGGTTAATTCCAGACTTGGCCTGTGCATTCTTTAGCACCCGCGCGTTTAACCACCCAATCGACTTACTCACCTTCCTCGGCGGAGCAGTGCCGCATCAAGCGTGACCAAGAGGCCTTTGTGGATTGCTCTCCCCTCCACAGATTCACCTCCGGTCTATTACTCGGCCAATCCTGCTTTTCTGAATTTTGCCATATCCCGGGATATCGAAAACTACCTTCTTCTTCGGAAATATCGACTATGAATAGGCCAGGTTCGTCATTTCCCTTCAATGCCTTCGCATACCCTTGTGCCTTTCTTATCGTCCCTCCTACCTCCGCGGAATACTTGGTATAGTCAAACCTGGCTTCTCTGCTGGGCTATACTCTCCTTTACAGGAATAGTTATCCAGCACTGTGAAAGCATTTGGAGTCCAATGGCTAGCCTTGGTTCAGATGGTTTTTGATTTGCGACCGAGACATTTGCAAGGACTTGCTCGCACATTCCTGTATCGTGGTGTTGACATGATCAGCCCTCGATGCGACGATCGTGCTGTCTTGTCACGCTTGTGTCAGAACCTGGCCCGCAACCGCTGAGAGGCATGTCCGGATTCCCCACGCAACAGCAAGCACAAGCTCGAACTGCATCATTAGCCTCTGCGCAATTGTCAAACGGGAAACTGGGTGCGATTGCCGCGAGACATACTTTCTGGGCACACAATATTATTTACATGGAGAGATGCTAACATGAGAGTGTCGATAGGCGGCAGTACGAATTGGAGCTTCAATCTACCTGTTAGTGGAACAACTGGCCTACCAGGCAATCAGCAACGCACAATGGGGACTATGGGAAGTTTTGCACAAAGTCTCGGAGGATCTCAATCCGCGGCACCACTTGATCTCTCGTAAGTGCTCTCTTGCCATGGTTTGCAGTGGTCTCCTGTATCTCTAGGTCTTCCAATTTGTCTCCGAACTGACGAGGTCGGTGATTCTAGGGAGTTCCCTTCACTATCAGGAGCATCACAGCAATCACAGTCACAAACTCCTGGTCAGCTAATGTGGGCCAACGCAAGTCAACGCGCTGCTCAGCAAACACCTGTCCAAAGACAACAGCTCCCCCCGACATCGCAAACCCCTTCCCGTTCCTCCCAACCTCAGGGTCTTCCCACACCTCAACAATCTCAACCACCGCATGATGACATGTTTCCTTCTGGTGCGCAGTTTGCCAATCGACTTGACGACTTTAGAAATGGTGGCCAGGGTATTAGTAGCCAACTCGGTGCGGGTGGCCAGCCCCAGACAGGCAATATCGAAGAGTTTCCCCCTTTGGGTCGCAATTCTGCTGCTGATCTTCCTCTCGGTCGAACTGGTTCGTTGATGCAAGGTGCAGGTTTTGGGGGCTATGGAACTGGTCTGGGGACATCGCGATCACCAGTCAACCAAGTACCCAATGGCATCTTGGGACAAGAGAAAGAGGTAGGCATCTATAATCATGCTCATTTTTTTAGGCGGCACTAACTTTACAACAGGACTTGAACAATGGTGTGCTTCCAGGCCAGCGTAACTTTAGCGATCCACAGCTACAGCAAAGGCAGCCAGAGAGTAGCGATGAACAAGATGTTTCTAGTGCACCCCAGAGTACTGAGCAACCGCCCCTCGCACAAATGAGTGAACTTGACAGGTTTGGGTTGGCGGGTCTGCTGCGCATGATCCACAGCGAGAGTCCTGACGTTGCAAGTCTCGCTGTTGGCCAAGATCTGATGACACTAGGATTGGATTTGAACCAAGCTGAGTAAGGGCCCCTTTGTTCCCATCCTATTGACACTCTCTAATATGATTCTCCGCATAGGCCTTTGCACACATCGTTTGCTTCGCCATTCGTGTCATCCATGTCAGCAGTCCCTCTGGAACAAGATTTCTCTTTACCGGCCTGTTATAATGTCGCCAATATCCAACCTCTCCAGTCTCGTATCCCTGGGTTTAGTGATGAGACACTCTTTTTCATCTTCTATAGCATGCCTCGGGATATCATGCAGGAATTGGTGGCCGAGGAATTGATGGGCCGCAAATGGCGGTACCACAAGCTTGAACGGTGCTGGCTGACTCGTGATGAGACATATCCGGGACCCGTCGATGTGGAGCGTGGTGTGACGGAACGCGGCGTGTATCTTTTGTGGGATTCTTCCGCCTGGAAGAAGGTCAGGGTGAGTAACTTTCATTCCTTGTTGGGATTTGAAGGACTGGTCAAGCTAACTTTGATCGCAGCGTGAATTCATCCTTCGATATGAAGACTTGGACAACCGGTTGGATCCTAACCGAGGCGCCGCCCGCCCACCTGGTGTGGTGCATCATGCCTCATGATTTGAAGTTGATACGACTTAGGCGTGGACATGCAGAATACAAGTAATCAACTATGGCGTTTGGTTTACTAGTCTGTGTTATATTGCTCCGGGCTGGCCGATAGTACATTAACCTTTGGGAACAAGGCGCGTTGATTTCTTGGGTATTAAATGGGCTATGTGGGGAACCAGGATACGATCTTTGAAAATCAATGACCTGTATGGTCTTGTCAGAATGCTGTAAAATGTTATAGATTGCTGTAGACTCCTATATCCATACGGCATCATCTGAATGAATTATCCATCTAGCAAGGCTTACGCGCACTGGACAAAATAGCTACCCATTCAGTATCGATGTTCCCAGACCCGTACACGTTCTCCACGTACTTCTCCAGCGCTGGGCGAACCTTATCCTTGTTCTCCTCCCGTTGCTTTTCAGTCCAGAAGGAGTTCATCATCATGGGGAACATCAACATGCTCATATCCACGAAGACAGGGGATGTGAGAGTCAACTTAATTGTTGTTGGGCGAACCTCGGTGTCCTGAAACCCAAGCTCCTCGAGCTGGGACTCAATCCAGGGCTTCGAGTCCCATTGCCCGTCAGTTATGACCGCCAAGAGCTTTGGGGTCTCAGGAAAACACAGGTCGCCTGGCATGCTTTCGATCGCTGCTCGGGCGATGGCCATCCAGCCGGCTGTTTTCATGTCAGTAAATTTGTTATCTGAGATAATTGTTCGGGTACTCACGCTCGATCCAGGTTGAGAAAGCAATAGTACCACCCGGTTGCAGCATTCTGGCGGTTTCTAGTAGTTGTTTCCATTAGTCCTGAATATAATAGGCAAGCAAGAAAAGATGGCCTTACCCTTGAGAGCCTTAACGGACTCGGGGAGTGCCATATAGGCTGTAGAATGAGCATAGTAGTTAGTCACAGTCAAATCAGACCAGAGTGCATCCAGAAACGAACTTACCGAACGCAGTGAAAATGTGAGAGAATTGACCACTAGCCAGCTCAGGCTTCTGCGCATCGACGATCTTTGTCTCCGTGTGTGGCCAGCTCTCTTGTTGCATCCGGACCTTGGTGTACTCGATCATTGCCGACGAGATGTCTCCACATGTCAACTTCCATGTTTTCTTGACAATGTTATCAAGCTTGGAGTTGAGGGTGCTGGAGACGACACCAGTGCCGCAGGCATTGTCAAGGATTACTAAAGGTTGATTAGGGTTGGCCTTCGACTCGGTGACCACCTTGCTCTGGTCAACTAGAATTTCAGCGAATGGGCGGGTGATCATCTCCCCGCGTTTGAATGAGTTAGCATAGGCTTCACTCTTGAAGAGCTCCCCGAAGTCGTGTTTGTCAGCCATGGTTGGTAAAGTTAAAAGGTGACTGAGTGTCGCGATGATTGAAATTGATCGATGAAGATGTCTGTTTAGAAGAAAACCTCGAGTGATGTGACACAAAATGAGATTATGGATAGATGTTCGTACTAGGTAGACAGCCCTTTAAATAGTCTAGAAGTTCTCCAGGACATCCAAGGATCCTGTAAGTTAGCCCTACACCAGATTGCCCTACAAGTGTTGCACGATATAGAAAGTGTCCGATAATGTCTCCGGTAATGTCTCCGGTAATGTCTCCGCGAGTGGATTTGAGTCATTTCTAAGAATATACCTTGAAGGAACATAACAAATCAGCTCCATCTTACACTATAGCTCAACGCTGTCAATTACAATAATTGGTTGAAGGCGGATCTTGAGGCGTACATATGTATGTACTAGTGACTCCAAGGTACCCTCTTAGTAGATCGTGATCATTGGGTATGTGTGGATGAACAAAAGAGGAATAATTTCTGAACTTAGTCAGAAACTACTGTTAAAAACACTGCTGTGAACACTGCTTATCCTTCCACCTATGATTTCTGACCGCGGTCAGAAATTATACTCACCTAGTGATATTCATTAAATTAAAGTACTTAGTAGGATATAATAGTTATATGGTCAGAAGTATAGAAGCTTAATGTGGTCTGAAATGCAGAAGTTAGATGATCTAACTTAAATATAGTTTAGTTATAACCTTATGAGATACTCTACTAAGTTAATGAGTGATATAATTGAATATGCATGATAAATATCAAATATGATATTTATATGTTATGGACTGTATACCTACGTAGGTAGATAAAACACCATTGCAAAAATATATTTTGATAACATTATGTTATCAAAATATACATCTACATATAGAGTGTTCGAGTTATAAATACACTGTTTGATCGGAAACCTGATGACTTAGCTTCTCTATGAACGCCAAGGCCGAGATTTTATGCAAAAATGGGTTCAAATGGGTTATCGATGGGTTATTGAGTTGAGACCTCCGACCCAAAACCCATTTTGATAAACACTTCACTTAGATTCACACTAGAATGCGCCCCATTAAGTGGTTCGAAACTAAGTAGGAGCTCACGGTAATTCTAGTCTTAGTCGATAAAGTACCCTATGATCGCCATAAATGCTTACTAAAAAGGTGATGTTTAGCAGTCCAGGGCGATTAAGAGCTTCGTATCTTAAAGCGAAAGCCAGTTCTAGGTCTGGGTTGCCCATGGTCCGTAGCTTGATACTGGAGTATCCAGAAGATCGCAATGTCTGGGGTATTGAATCTCAATATTTCTTTGGCTCGGATATGCTGATCGCGCCCACCATACAACCACTGGATGAGGCTGAGGAACACATGATTTACCTCCCTGCTGGTATTTGGTTTGGCTTTTGGGACAAGAAGAAGATTGTCAGTCACGGTGAGTGGATTGGCTTCGACATGGCTCCCCTGAGCCGAAATCACATCATCAAAGACGGCGCCATGCTGTGCTGGGCTCCGGCCCGCAAAAGGACCTATAACGAGGTGGGTATCATCGAAAAGGTAGAAATATACGGTCAACGCAGCGGTCCATGGGTGTGTGGAGATGGACAGGGGTCCACGGTCGAAGTTATCAAGGCAGAGAACGGATGCAGTGTGGTCGGCCGTGGGGGTGTTATGGTTGAGGCATTCGAATAAATACATACAGTTCGATTATTGATTTGACATAATAAGTTATTGCACTTATGAAATACAGTCGTCAAAAGGGCAAATGCGTAACTAGGAAACTTGGGCAAATTTGTATGTGGTATACTGCGTGTACAAAGCTTTGGGGTGGCTTCAGTGGCCAATGCTGTAAACATTTAATCCTCCATGAAACATGATCGCCGGGCTTTGATTATAACCGTTCACCTGCTCAATTCAACACCCCGATGGACACCAAGGACGGTTTTGGTATTTGGAAGCTGATTACTTCTATCGCTGAGCCATATGAGGGGGTTGCTGCACCCGCTGTGTCGGATAGAACAAAGTGGATTTGAACTAGCATGGGGGCCTGTATTGAGCATCCACACGATGCCTAATACTGACAGTATCAACGACTTGATTTGGCTTCAGTTATGCCCAAGTTGGTGCAACCATGCTTTGCGCCTGACCGCGACGTTGGGCCAAGCCGTGCGTTCGACCCCTCGGGGGTCGCCTGTGTTGACGTCTCGATCTACAACGTGTGTAACCCACGCGTGTTTTCTTGGCCAGAGCTGCTGCCGACTCTCCACTGAACCGGGTTTCAGTGTTAGGTTTTGCCGTTTGAAGGGTGGCTTCACTTACTACGAGCGAGTGAGGTTCGAGGCGAAGAAGATACCAACTCGGCAGTTAACTTGATCCATCATTATGAATTGAGGTATGGTTCCTGTTTTCCACCTGTCAGAACGGGACAACAGTGCTTGCGACTGACAAGGCTGAAAGACATGGCGGCCGCTTGAATATTGTCCTAGACAACATCCTGGACTGCTATGCCCGAGACTGGCCGATGAGGTGGGCGACCTTCTCAAGCAGAATGCTCAGTGTATATACTTAAAAAGAGCCCGTTGTATTGAAACAAACGGACCAGACAGCCAGGAGCTGACTTTAGAATTCAAATGTCAATGCCCTTCCTACTGGGAGTTTGAGTCACTCCTCCAGAAGCGATATAAATAAGAGAAATCTCTAAATCAATTTTCCTTTCATTTCCCACAAGTAGAGGATTGCTGTGGGCAGAGAATTTCCGACTGAAGAGGGCAAGTATCAGTACGGTGAACAATTGTTAATCCCAGGTCACCTGTCGGTAGCGCAGAACCGGCCTGATTCTAGATGAGGGCAATGATTCGCAGAATGACAGTGATTGGTTCCAGTCACACAATGGCGTGGAGCACCGTGGTGATCGTGTAAATAAATATTGACTATTAATAGATGGCCATCCATCTTAGGTTTTTCTTTTTGGCTCAGTTCAGGGGGAAGGCTAATAAGATCGTATCCGAGATTCCAAAATCCCGCGGAGTTCCAACGCAGTGTGGTGCAATAAATAGCACGAGCCGACTGTGATGAATCAACCGTTTTGGTCGCCGGGTAAGAGACCTGAAAAGGTTAGTCTTAAACACCAAATGAGTCGATGTTATTTCCCCCGCAGTGGTACCCCTGGGGTTTCCTGTCAGCTCGGGGAAGGGACAGTGCGAATGGGCGAGAAATGGAACTGAACTCCCCAGTCTGACCGTGGCTTTCAAGACCCACACTAAGTAGGTTAGAACGAGGTTCCAAAAACCCAAAAGCGCATTAAACCCAACGAAGAATAATTAGGGAAACCCCTCTGTTCTTTTCCGAAACTCCGCTGAACGGGTAGCTCACTCGGTGACCGTAGCTCATTCGGTGGCCGGTCTTTCCTCTGCGAATGCTGCAAAAACCTGCCAGTAAAGAGACTGTGTTTCGACCCTAATGGAGACAGTCTCTCAGTCCATGAACATCCAAAGACCTCGGCCTCCGAAAGAGAATCCCCCCCTCGGCTGACAAGGTGAGTCCACAGAAAAAAAGGCGGTCCCGCGCTGCGGGATATACCCGCCATAGCGAGCTACCCAGGCATGCCATACATGTCGCCCTCGACGGACTAAGTGCGACAGTACCTGGCATTCCTGCGCCTCGTGTGTACACCTCGGAGCGGAATGCCCCTATCAACTTACAACTCGAACGATGAGACTAAGTTCCTGAAGGCTTATCCCCAGTCATAGGCCCTTGATACTTTCGCGTCTCTTTTTTGGAAAGGTTTGCATACACTGCGTTTCCGGAGGGATTGTTGTTGTTGTTGTTGTTGTTGTTGTTGTTGCAATACCTCTCTTTGAAGCTGTGCCAAATTAACCCCTGAAGAAGGAATGCGGCCAAAGAAAATAGGCAGAGATCAATGTACACTAGATACATCCATGCTCAAAATTTGCCATGTTTGTACAGGTTTATCACCAAGGCTTTCCGCCTAGGTAGACATAGCCGTCGATAGTTTGATACAAGATCATATTCGGAGCCCTTCCTTGCAAACGACAGATCATGTTGCCGACAAGTACGGAAAAGCCTTATATCCGTTAATAGTCACTTCGACAGTGGTTATATTATGTATGGCATTAAAGCCTCTTTCGATGAATTCCGGATCCTTGAAGAAAACCTTCAAAGCCGCTTTGAAATCTTGGAGCATAAGACTCAACGCTCCTTAGCCATCATCACTCGCCTATTTGAGGCAAGTGAACACTGCCCGGGCAAGAAAGCACAGAATGCTGAGGACTTTTACTGGAGGGGGCGTTTTTGACGGATGGAGCTGTCATTAGGTCACGGTAGATGCCCTTCGTGGTTAGCACCAATAATGAATGCTTGTTGTGTGGTTAACTCAGGTAGATAGAAGAATTTCTGACCAGAGGTCGCCGGAGTGGACGAAAGAAAAGAGGTACGAATATTCTACCGTTTTGTTAATTATCCTTAGTTTGTGGGGATGAGGCCGTTCAATTGACAACCGGAAATTACATGGAGTCGATAGTCTGAGCTGTGAACCTATGCTAGAAAAAAAAATCGAGCAAGATCTTAGAATCGTCAATTTCCTATTACAATTCTGGGATTATCCTAGGGCTGCACACGAGTAAGGTTTTGATTATTCATATTCGTACATACTTGGAGGTGGCTTGTTTCTTAATACTTCGATGGGCTGAAGAGCAGCAGTAGATTATTATTTCCATACAATTTCCAGTCTATGATACTATATTCTACTTTCCGTTTCCATTGACATGCCGGGATACAGCAGTAATAACAGGTCCAAACAAGCCATTCCATTCCCTAGTACGGGAGATCGCAAATCCTGTCGAGAGAACATTCTGCTCACCAGTCCCTATGACAGTGACCTTATACTCCCCCGCTTCACTGAGCCAGGCAGACGATCTCTCATCCCAGAAACTGGTAGCCAGAGCAATTGGGATAACAATCACGACTTCCTGTTTCTCTCCCCGTTGCAGTTTGACCTTTTTGAACCCCTTGAGCTCTCTCACAGGGCGGGAAATGCTGGCGTCCGTAGGTGGTGAGATGTATACTTGAACAGTTTCTGCGCCACTGCAAGGTCCAATATTCTCCACTAACACTAACACTTCCAACACTTCTTCCTTGACGTTGTCCCGGGCCTCCAACGGCTGCGAAACAGCTAGCTCCGAAAGACGGAATACTGTATATGAGAGACCATAACCGAAGGCGAAGAGAGGCTTCACTTTGGCCTTTTCATAGTAGCGATAACCGACGTAGATGTCCTCGCCGTACAACACTCTTCCTCCTTCTGATCGATAGGACAAGTATGCTGGGTTATGCTCGATGGACTCTGGGAAGCTGAGAGGAAGTTTGCCAGACTTGAAAGCAAGTTAGCCGGTGTATAATATAGAATTTGCTCAATACTCACTGGATTCACATCCCCGAAGATGACATCCGCAATACCATTTCCTGTTTCGTTCCCACCATACCACGCATGAAGAAGGGCCTTTACGTCCCGAGCCCAAGGCATTGTCACAGGAGTTCCACTCTGCACAACAACCGCAGCGTTTGGTTGGACAGCGAGGACTCTTTGAACCAGCTGATCTGACATCGGCGGGAGATCCATGTGTGGACGGTCGAATCCTTCGCTTTCCCATTCTCCACTCAGCCCAACACAGACAACCACCTGCTCAAATGTAGCTGCCAGATCAACAGCATGCTCAATGGCACGTTCTGTGTTGATCCGTTTACATCCTCCCACTCGCAGTCCCCCTGGTCCAAAGGAAACGACACCGTGTAGTTTCAGATTGGAAGTCGGCGCAGTGCCGTAGTCGACGAGAATCTTGTACCGTTGATTTGCTTCGAGGTACTTGGAGCCGCGTTCCTCTGGAGTTCCGATGCCAAAGAATGACGTTCCCTGTCGCTGATTGTCCTTGTTGTCGACTACCTTCTCCCCATCAATGAAGAGCTCTCCAGTACCCGCTACCGTAAGGCCAAAGTCATATATCCCACTTTCCGTGGGCTCGAATATCCCATCCATGGTGATGTAGTAAAGGTCGGAGTGGACTTTTGGGTGCTTGTAGTCCATTAAAAAGGCGGAGCTGCTCTTCATGTGCAGGATATCTACTGCCTTTCTGTTTTTGTTGGAAGAAGGCTCAGTAAACACACTGAATATATACCCAGGTCGACCATCTTCGGTTTTCAATTGGTCGCCTAGAAGTGGTAGCTCTTTGTGGCTATACACTCCCTGTGAGAAGACTACACCCCCGGTACAGCTGCTGCTGATTCCTTCTAGGGGTGCAATGGCATAATATCCCGGCAGAGCCGAAGAGCCTCCGCCACAGTATGCCGCGATGTTGGCATTCGGACCGATCACGAGAGTTCGTTTAGTCGAATCCAAAGGAAGAATCTGATCATTGTTCTTGAGAAGAACAATAGACTCGGCGGCTGCTCTACGGAGCAATGCTCTATCCTCGGGCAGGTTCCGCTGAGCTTCGGCTGCATTCTCAGGGATACCCGAGCTGGCCGTTTGTTTTACTAGCTCTAAAACACTGCGGACCCGATCATTGATAGTTTTCTCCGAGACTTTATTGGATGTGATGGCATGCACCAAGCTCGACCCACGAAACCGAGATGGGCCAGGCATTTCGAGATCCAACCCGGCATTAACAGCCTCAGACACACTATAGGTGCCGAACCTGTATCTGGTCAGCTATAGAAACTTTGAGGAAGAGTAGCAACCAACCAATCGCTCATGATGAGACCTTTATAATCCCATTCCTTCCGAACAACATCCTGGAGCAGATCAGGGCTCTCGCTGGCGTGACATCCGTTGACCTTGTTGTACGACGTCATAAGGGCCCCAGGATTGGCGCCTGTAATGGCTAGCTGAAAGGGAAGTAGATATATCTCCCGTAGAGCACGCTCAGTGACAAGCGCACTGACAGCAACACGCTCATGCTCCTGATCGTTGCAAACAAGATGCTTCGGTGTTGGGATGACATTCTCAGTCTGTACACCCAAACAATAACTGGCAGCCAATGATCCTGAAAGTACAGGATCCTCTGAGAAGGATTCAAACCCGCGACCCCCCAGCGGGCCTCGTTGGATATTAATCGTCGGCCCTAGGAGGACATGAGCCCCCTTTGCCTTGCATTCTAGGCCAAGAAGCTTTCCAAGGGAATATATGAGCTCGGTGTCGAACGAAGCGCCTAGTGCTGTGGCACAAGGTAAACAGGCCGAAGGTACCCCGTTGAAAAAGCGGGTGCCTCGAACGCCATTTGGTCCATCTGACATGCGAATTGAGGGGATGCCGAGTCGCGGGATTGCTGCTGTATGCCAGCCATCGATTCCTTTTTGTTTGGTGAGCCGGGAAAGCTTGAACTGGTTCTGGGGACAAACCTGAAAGTAATGAGACCTTCTCGTTTAGGGATAGCTCTGAGAGCACGTGTTCAATATCAATCGCCGACATAATAAAAGAATAGTATATGCGATAGGTTAAGAAAAGAACGAATGAACTCCACTCCCAGCCGGGAGATCACATTCTTATAGCCAACAGATATCTACGTTGCTTTGGTAATGTAAAGTATGAAATCTAGGTGCTATGGAGCATCGCGGAGTATCGGACTTGTGCCATTGGAATGGAACTAACATCGTGGGCCAGGTTGCATTCACCCGAGAAATTCCTGCTGACGAGAATATTTGGTGATCGCTCGCTTACATGCATTTATAATTAGCCTGGACTGATACACTGCTGCTCTGCATATTTGAATAACCGGTTGGGATAAGAGATAAAATATACCAAATAACATTGTCCTAATTTGCCCTCGCCTGCAGCAACGTTTGCACAATATTGAACAAGCCCATTATATCATTCGACTCATGTTTCCAGAATTCCAACATCTCTGTAACATCAACTACCGCTCTCTCCCAGCCGATAGGCAGAAAACAGACAAGATCCACACTGCGCTCAGCAGCGAGTAGCACTAACGCACTCCTTGCACACGATCGAAGCATCAGCCATGTTCCGTGGTGACGATGGTAAAATCCCGTTCGATTTTGCTGTATCCTATTCACACAGACCTTCAGTCCTTTGTGAAGAAGACTATCGCTGGTTCCGTCGCCTCGGCCATGTATCGCTTCGACCAAAAAGTGCCAGTACATTGTCTCTTGGCAGTCAAGGAAATGACCACTGAGAATGAATCGGAAGGGTTCATATTGATCTGTATGTGGGTTTTCTACATCTGGAGCCAATGCCTCTGGGAGGGATCTCAGCCTAACCTTCGTTAATTGATGTCTTGTTTAATCTGGGATATTACTTACCATGCGTCTGCTTGCTCCTCAAAGTCAAGGATTACAGATTCCAGGTTGGGCTTTGAGATAACAGCGTGAGGTTGGTAAAGGTAGCTCAGAATGCGATTCTCCAATCTTCGCAAAGCGATTTCGGCGAGATAGAAATACCATGCGGCTTCATCTCTGGACTTCAGCTCTTCTGGAGGTGACGGAAAGAAGGTAGGGTATTTGAGATCCAGAAAATTCTTTGGGTAAACATTCAATTCTAGTCGTAGCTCTCTATTAAGGTAATGTTAGGTATTCCCTCGTGGTTTAGATTTTGGTCTACTTACAGCTCAGACTTCAAGCAGGTCCAGTATACTCTCTGCTTCGTCTCCCACGCATCTTCATGGCGGTCATTTGTGCGGAGGATGGAGAAGCCCTCACAGCACGCCAGTGCTTGCACAAACATCCTCGATGCCTCTACTGACCGCAACTTTGTCATTAGATATACACCAGCTAGGAAGAAGCATTGCGCCTCTATTACACCGCTCCTGCAGAGCAACATGCCCATTCGCTTCTGAGCAGCGAGGAAATACGCTTCACCTTGGAGAAACTCCTTTGACTGGCGAAACAGACTAGGAGATACGCCTTGTCCATTCCTTACAAATGACGTTGCAATTGAACCATTGGCATATATGAGAAGCTAGTATCATATGAGTTCACCATATGAAAGTAGGTTACGGATACTCACTAACAAACAAGACATTGCGTCCCACCCGATACCATTCAATCGCACTGTCGCCATATATTCGTTGATGTCCTCTTCTTCTAGCGTCGGGTTGAAAATATGGACATTATCGAAAAAGCTCCGAACAAGGTGGTCGGCTGCATGGAGGTCAAGGTCGACGGAAAATTGTAGGTCGGGCTGTATATTGTTTCCGTCGGATGGAGATAGTAGATGGAACCGCGTTTCAAACTCATGGTTATCGAAAACAGGCCACTTAAGAACCTCCCCAATGTTGATGAAAGATGGTTTCCATTGTGTCTGCTGCTCCAGCCCAGATGCCCAAGTGCCATGGGAACTGCTAGACGGCGATGTAGAAAGGAGAACGTTAGACAGAGCCACCGGAGGTGGATCGTTTACCTTGATCTGGATCAGTGCTTCTAGATCATCGATTCGTTTCAGAATAAAGAGGCTCGCGGAATCAAATCTGTTCCTTGATTAGTTGCCTTTTATTTCCCCCTCCAAATATTAAATCACAACTTAGTTGCTCATCCAGCACTTACGTCGACAAACACATTTGCTGGTAAGAACACTCCGCCCCGAGCCGCACACACGATGCACACGAGGGTCGGGTATTATCGCACTTTGTCCGTTTAAGACGACAGGTCTGGCATGCCTGAGTAGCTCGTTTCCGGGGGTAGGTCGCGGCTGCACGGGAATGTCTTCGTTTCTGGATATCCGACTTGTCGGCAGGTGGGGTAGGGGATTCCATGTTGGAGGCCGAGACCTGTGCGTGTATCTTAGACTGGTCGGCTGCTTCCATCAAAATAGAAGCATGGTGATTCCTGACATCTTTCATACAGGCCAGAAAGAGAATTAAGTATTCAGCGGAGTTTCGGAGAAGCAGAGAGGGTGCCCTCATTATTCTCGTATTTGCGCTTTGGTCACATAGGGCGGGCGCACATGATGTTTCCCCTTTACCCTAAGCTGGTTAGAGCTGGCCCGGTATATTAACATGGGGGGATTTGGTGGCATTTGTCACGACGAGAAGAAAAATCCCGGGGAATGCCGCTGCGGGGAATGTGTGCTCATCCGGAACCAAACCCGAACTGGCCCTTGAGCCGACGACAGTAATTTACTTCATAACAAAGGACCAGTGCTAATACGCCACACTGTGCTAGTCTAAGCGGAATGGCGGGTTCCAAACACACGACCGCACTAATGCTTCCCTGTGGACAGGCATAATGAAATAAATGAAAGGAATAGGCGTTTTAGACCACAGGGTTGAGTTCAGCCATCAACTTCAATAGGCACGTTCGCTGCGGAATCGCGAATTGATGCGATGGGAAAAGGATATAATGGAGACGGCACCATCGAAATTCCAGTCATGATTGGCAGTCAAGTCATTTTTCTACTCCTCGGATTTAATTCACAGACCTGCAATCAACATGACTGACCAGGACGATAAGCCGACGACCGAGGCCCATGACACCTACACCAACAACCCCGGCGAATGGAACCTGAAAAGCGTTCTCCCAAATACCGGCAAGCCATGGTACAAGCATCGTCATCTTTTGCTCCTCAATCTTGGAATGATTGTTCCCTATCTATCCTCGACGACCAACGGCTATGACGGATCCATGCTCAACGGTCTGCAGTCGATGAGCCAGTGGCAGGACTTTTTCGGTCATCCAGCCGGTACTCGCCTAGGCTCACTTTCGAACGGAGTGATTTTCGGTCAGATCGCCGCCTTCCCCATCGCTCCTTGGCTCTGTGACCACACGGGCCGACGGTTCCCAATCTTCCTCGGATCGGTCTTGCTGGTCATTGGAGCCATTCTTCAATGTGCCGCGCAGAACTATGCCATGTTTTTGGTCTCCCGTATGGTGATCGGATTTGGTGGTCTGATTGCCGTCGAAGCATCACCGATGTTGGTCAGTGAATTGGCGTATCCGACACATCGATCCGTTCTAGTCGGCTATTACAACAACTTGTGGTATCTCGGAGCTTTGCTTGCCGCATGGATCACATACGGAACCTACTTCATGGGTCCAAACTTGTCATGGGCCTGGCGTATCCCGTCCCTTTTGCAGGGATTCTTTCCCTTGATGCAAGTTCTTTTCGTCTATATGCTTCCAGAGTCGCCCCGATATCTTGTGCAGAAAGACCGCTATGACGAAGCCCGAAAGGTGTTGACCAAGTACCACGCCGGCGGAGACGAGGACTCTCCCCTAGTCGACTTCGAGATGAAAGAGATTATCTTGTCAATCCAGACCGCTAAAGGAGCTTCCCAAACTGGCTATCGCGAGTTTCTAAGTACACGCGGTAACTTGCATCGGCTGTTCATCATCATTGCGGTCCCATGCATGATGCAGCTTTCCGGTAACGGTCTGATCGCCTACTATCTTCACCTTATTCTCAACTCCATCGGCTTCACCTCAGATCCCCAGCAACTCCGTATCAACGGTGGCCTGACAGTGTTCAATTTGGGTGTCTCGATAATCCTAGCCTCCTTTATGGAGGTAGTCGGTCGACGACGGCTCTTCCTTTTCTCTACAGTGGGAATGTTGACCTGCTATGTGATATGGACAATTTTGTCCGCAATAAATGAACAGCGCCATTTCGAAGACACGACTCTCGGCACTGGCGTGATCGTGATGATATTCATGTATCAGCTCTTCTACAATGCCGGTCTCAATGGGCCACCCTGGGTTTATGTTACCGAAGTGCTTCCTACCCATCTCCGTGCCAAAGGAACGAATATCATGCAGATCGCGGCCACGTGTGCTATTCTCTTCAATGGATATGCTAACCCCGTGGCAATGGATGCGATTAGCTGGAAATACTATATTGTTTACTGCTGTGTGATTGCTGTTGAGATCGTGCTTGTCTATTTCGGTTTCCCTGAAACCAAGGGTCGTAGTTTGGAAGAGGTTGCTTTGATTTTCGATGGAGAAAAGGCCTTCGGTGACGTCCATGAGAAACAAAGCCCGGATGAAGTTTGAGCTACTCAGCATTGGGATGGAGGTATTATGGTGAAATTGGAGCCTAAGTGGAGGCGCTGTCTGAATACCTGAGAGTGTGGTTTAGGTAGCTATGATTGAATTGGAATAGTATTTGTATTCTTGTATGTTTAAGGTTATCATCTGTTAGGATATATCTTACTCCTTCGCCCGATGAAGCTGGGAGAATTAGGCCAAATATGACAAAAATAAACTTCCTATATGCCCCACAATATTTCCTATACAATTTTATCCATAAAGATTTGGCAACCGCTTTTTCCCAGGTAATGGCTTCGCTTTCTCATGGCGAAATTTACTTCGCCGAGCTTCATCCCATATTTTTGGAATCCACAGACAAAAGGAATAACTGCAGTATAATGCCCTTTTCTTATTGTATCTCGAGTTATATCATCCAGAAAAACATAGTGGGACGCTATACTACGTTTAGCCGATAGCCCATTGTCCATCTAGGTTCGTCGAAAATTCTTTACACTAACACCATAATTAGAAGTTTTAGGGCCGCAATAGAGAAGAAGTAATGGCTGGTATCAGAAAATAATATAGCTCGGTATCGCTACGCTACCAAGGATCTCTATCAGATAAAGACTTTGTTCGATTCCCGTGAGACGAGGCAGAGATAGAAAGGAAAGCGGGAGAAACAAAGCAAACTAGCTAACTACGAGGTCCTGTCACCATGGATGGCCTAAGGGCCCCAAAGGCATCCTCCCTACTAGCCCTAGTGGGGAACCACAGGGTACTGCAAATTCTGACAGACCCCATTGCATTCCTTATAAAGTCCGATAAATCCGTATCCCCCACAATTCTGAGCAGGGTTGCCGCTGCAGGGATATAGACAATTTCCCATCGGGGTGACCTTCGGTTCGTTGGCAGGGTCAACGCTATTGCCACAATAGCACTCTTGGGAGTTCTCGAGGCCTGCAATTGTGTATCCACCCGCCTTACATTTCTGGATACACTTTGCGACGGTCATGTCAGACCCCCGTGAACTGGAGCCTGTGAGGATGCGGACGCCGCCTGCGTTATCGACCGTGCAACCGATCCACTCCCAACCCAGCTCAGTGGTGACATCGGTATAGTAGTGCCGTGGTGATCCAATTTGTGTAGGTGCACCACAGCCAGTGAATATAGTCGCATCATTGGGCCCCGGCTGGATGGGATTGCAGCCTGGTAGGGCATCGAGCCATCCTCCAACTTCTTCGTCGATTGACTGTTCTAAAAGACAGCCATCTGTGACAGAGTCGGGGTATAGATGGATTGGCGGGCATTTAGTTATATCACCGCCACCGTCATTGCAGGTGTCAATCGCCTCTTGAAGAACATCCACATTCCACCCGTTGACAAAGTCTCCATGTAAGCCGTATCCCGTGGGATCGCCGAAAGAAAACACAAATGGCTGACTGTCACCATACCACATGTCTGCAAATTCCTCGGTGTGCCATGTGATCTCGTAAAAGATGGACACGATTCGAACGGGATGCGATGCGGGGCACGGGCCGTTGTCATAGGTCTGAGTCGGATATGCCATGTGCGACTTATGATCAGGGCTGTCCAAATTGATTCCGTCCCAGCAGGAAGGAAAGTAAATCTGAGCACGGAGACCATTGGGGCAGTTTGTCTTCGGGAATCCATTCGTTTGGGGCGTACCAGGACCATTGTAATTGAGACAGGCGAAGCTACGCGCATCAGCAGCGATTGTGTCCTTGTATTGGCGGTCAAATGGATTGCCAGCAATCATCCGGAAGCCAGGCGGGGGAGCCACGATTGCACCGTCGGTAGTTGGGTCTGGACGTTGCCTAGGTCTTTTAGCATCACTCCTTGATTAAGATATAATATATTCTTACTCGTAGTAGATCAAAGCTCCGCCGTTCTGTGGGACTTGAATGAAACTACCATTTTGGGCATGGTAGTAAAGTGCCGCCACCCAATAGTTGGATTTGTCCTCAACCGGGGAGCACGAGTTGCATTCTGAAGTTTGTGTCATGTCGTAGTTCATGGTAAATCCGAAACCGGATCCTCCCATGATAGTGTGGACATGATTGGAGGCTACTCCAGGTGAGATGAGCGGGTCTGCTCTCTCAATCACTAGAGGTGTACTGCATGGCACCTTAAAGAAGGCAAATGCAGCGTTGAGGTATAAAAAAAGAGAGAGAGTATACTCCGCAAAAAACCGCATTGTGAAGGACCTGGACCCTCTAAGACTGTTCTCCTCAGCAGAAAGGTTTGAAGCTTTTTTTTTTCTTTAATCGTGGCAGGTGTGACTCTTTTATCACCATGGTCTTTGTTCTCTTTGGTGTCAATCCAATGTAATCATCTATATTATGTTTTGTTTTTATTCGTAAGCGAGAAAAGTGTATACAGAATTTGAAAACTACAAAAGCTTTGTTATCTCCGTGATTCCGCTGTGTACACTATATTGATGCACTCATATTCTATATGGTTACATTTTATAGCGCTCAGTGCCGGAGTTCTTGTCGGAATCAGCTTAGTAGACATGAACCCCGCAGGTACGGCCACAGACTGAAAATTCTTAATTAAACATGCATATTTTGCGGGGTTCGCCTGCGGGACATGAAGTAGATTAAAAAGAGAATTGTGGAGAAACGGACTTATCGGCATTTACCAGGAATGTGGGACTGTCAAAATATGCAGTAATCGTGCCAAGCGCCCAACACTATGGAGTGGTATGAAAATATTACTACGCCTGGTTTTCGAATTAAGCCTACACCTAGTGGTTATACGGACGATGAAACAGCTCTCTAATAGCTTTTCTCCTTCCACGAAGCTACAATTTCTCGGGTTTAAAAGGGGAGGCCTCGGCTTCTTTTAATGGATAATCATGGATCCCGTATAACTATCGAATTCGCCCAATTTTATACCGCGAAAAATATTATCCCAGCATATTTCTTACCCCATACAACACATATCTGTTAACCGCTCGATGGTGAAGCTTTCCAATGCTTAAAGCATTACTTTTGTACGACAAATAACGAGGTCGTTATGTGGGGTGGAACTGCTAGTAAAAAGCGAGATTTCTTCCGGATTATCGAATGGTTCGGCAGCAAGCTTTTACCCAAAGAACTATCAGATCCTCTTTAAAATCTAGGGATATCTACCCGCTAGGTCCAGAGGTTATTCTTAGTCCTTTACGTCAAAAAGCCCTTGAATCAGAAGGGTCCCCCCTTAGGATTTTCACACCGTCACCCCCTCCGGATATCCTAAGCTCAGCCACCAACTCCCCGCCAGATACAATTCAGCGGGTCAATAAGCTTAATCTTAAGCTTCTTGATGACGTTGAGAAGCTAGAGAACCTATCTCGGGATTTTAAAAGGCATATTCAACGAAGTATGCAAGCAAATACTTTTTTATTCCAATAGCTTGATCTAGTGAAGGAGAGTCTAAAGACCTCTCAATTCCACAAATCAGCTGCAAATCAGCCAAAAAAAATGGGGAATCGCTTCTTAGGACTAGGGGCTCGGCTCTATCGCCTATATGCGCAAATAGGATGATGGTAAAAAGGCAGGATGCTGAGGCTAAGAAGTTGATTCGTCTACAAGCAAGGCAGGCCAATGCCTTAGAAGCTCAATCGCAGGCCCAATTAGCTAGGGATTTAGCTGAAGCTGAGCATGAAGCTTCAATGGCAGCAAGAGATAGTAGTGGTGGAAATTGGTATATAGATATTACTGGGGGTTACCTGTAAATAGGTTGATAATTTGAATTTTGCATCTTGTGGGTAATTTGCATCTAGTGGGGCGCACCAACACAGGGTGTGTGTGTAGGGCGCTTTGCACGATTACCTCTTAGTCCCATCCAGTAGCAAGGTTATATTTTGGGGGCCCGAGGTTGAGCTACTCCTCCTGACCTCAGCTAACTACAAATTTTACGTCGAGAAGCAGATCACAGATATAGAGCCTCCGGAAAGCCATTGAGTTTTGTTTAATCCTATATCCTTTCGCACCTATATCCAGTTCAAGAGGGTGTTCCACTGCTCCATATAGAAGAAACCTTAGATGTTGGCATAAGCATTCCCCAAATCCGAAAGCGCAGTGCCATCGGCATTGATGAGATATTCCGGGAAAGCACCAAAATAGGCATACCTCTCCACATAGTCCTGCGAATCCAACCACGGAAGAGCGTGTTCCAAAAAGGCAATCTGCTGTTCCTCATTACCATAACACTCAAACTCGGTGATCCAGATCGGCAAACCCAAAGCATCGTGCGCATTTGTGACATTACCCTCAAACCAAGCAGCCCCATTCTGGCCCTCCGGAGTAACGCAGTCCTGGTAATAATGAATCGCTGCAAAATCCAAATGACAACCTGTGCAGTTTCCCAGGAAGTACTGAGTCCAGGTGGCGGTATTGTAGGCACCGCCAGAAGAGGATCCCACGTTGTTCCACAGCACGCTTGGAGACCCGATTCGTACAGTTCCAGCAAATGGCTGGATGTACGTGAGGTACCCCGCGGCGGCCTTTTCCGGTACGATATTGGATGAGGCATCATAAGTCAGATCGGGTTCATTGAATCCAAGGACGTTGAATGTTCCAGGAGTCTGCACAGCTGCGGTCCAGTCTGTATCAGGCCCATTTGGGAGGCCCCAGAGCATCGGTACGCTGTTTATTCATTTAGTATCGAGGTGGACAGCTCTGTGGTGTTTGACTTACAATTCGAATGAGGAATCTAGGTTCCAGGAGGGGAATCCCCAGTCATAGCCCCACGAGACCTTGTTGTCTCCTTTGAACAAGTTTGCGTAGACTGCGTCGCTGGAGGGATTGTTGTTGTTGTAGGCAATGCCTCGTTTGCCAGTGAGGCCGTGTACACCATGGAGAAGAAGAAGCACACCTGATAAAATGGAGGTAGGAGCCATTGTCGATCTTTGAGTTTGAAATGAGGCAGGTGAATTTGATTCTTATTTTTCGAAGGAATAAATAGCTTAACACAAGTAGGGAAAAACAACGGTTGTCTTAAACTACGCTACAACGCAGTGCGTGGAGGGTCGTGTTTACCGTCACTCCGAATACCTGAATGTAGCCCATGACTCAGGCCGTAGTCTGTAAACTCACTCCCTGTACTGTGAGCCAATTACTACAAGGCTGGAGACGTTCTGGCTTTGCTGATCCCCGCACTTATGCCTGTTATTCTTGTGGGGGGAGATGGGAGATGAGCCACTCAATTACTGCAGATAGTAGGAAGCCTCGTCACTGTCGTGGAATTGCGGCGCTTCTCAGGGGCTCAATTTGAAAAACATCTCCATCTGAAACGATCTTTCACTCAATTCATCAGCGGATTTTCGGATCACGGAAGGGATATAGGACCAGTGCGCGATGCTTTGTTCACAAGTCCCTTGCATTAGCCCCGCATCAACGGCAATATCCAAAAAGTGAAGCCAGCGGAATCTCGGAACTAGGGTCGATTATGATTGCCGCTATAGAATTCCCGCAAATGTGATCCTGCAACATCTTAGGCCCAAGCCAGGTACGGCCCATTTTATGGGGGAGTCCGGGGTAGACGGATGACTCCGCGACGATGCCAATCGATGCAACTTCATAACTCGTTTTGTTTTCCAAGGCATGCTATATAAAGAGAGAATCATGGCTGACGTCTTTCCTCGATTCCAACCCAAACCAATTTGTCGAGAAGAAATGGTTCGGCTCAATATCTTTGCCCTTATGCCCTTTGCACTCGGGGCAACTGCAGCTGTGCTTGATATTCCATCTGTTGATGCTGCTGTTGCCGCTGCGCTAAAGGGCTACGGAAACTATGAAGCCTACTCTGGCCCTCAAAAGAAGCCACCGCCTCAGGTAAACGGTAAATTGAAACAAACCAAAGTGGCACTTGACGATTCATCCTATTGGCTTGAATCCATAAGCCACCAGGGTGTTTCTGCCTTTGGCGCTTCTGGATATCAAATCTTTCGCAATGTCAAGGACTTCGGTGCCAAAGGTAATTCATCATGGGGACGCTACATGGTACAAATGCTGACCTCAATCCTAGGAGACGGTGTTACCGATGACACAGCGGCTATCAACGCAGCCATCAGCAGTGGCAACCGATGTGGGCAGGGTTGTCCGTCCGACACGACAACCCCGGCATTGGTCTATTTCCCTTCGGGAACTTACAGGATCTCGTATCCCATCTTTGACTACTACTATACGCAAATCATTGGAGACCCCAACGACTTGCCCGTGATCAAAGGATCATCGGAATTCCAAGGTGGATATCTCATCGATGCCGACCCGTACTTCGGCTCGGATCTCAACTGGGCATCTACCGTGGTATTTTTCCGATCAATTCGAAACGTCGTTCTTGATCTTCGCGACATTCCCCCTGGCAACACTGTTAGTGGCATTCACTGGCCAACAGCTCAGGCAACTAGCCTCGAGAATATGGTATTCGAGATGAGCTCCGCGTCCGGGACCAAACACCAGGGTCTCTTCATTGAAAGTGGTCTGTTTACCCCGTATCCACAAGCAAACAGGATCATAGGAACTGATAATGTGCAGGCTCCGCCGGGTATCTTGGCGACCTTGTCTTCAATGGTGGAAATATTGGCGCCGCACTAGGCAATCAGCAGTTCACGACCCGCAACTTGACATTTAACAACGCCGTTACCGCTATTAGCCACTATTGGGATTGGGGTTGGACATACAAGAACATCAATATCAACAACTGTCAAGTCGGGATCGATATCAGCTCTGGCGGCCATGATGAGCAGAGTGTCAGTTCCATTACCCTACTGGACAGCTCCATCACGAACACCCCGGTCGGCATCATCACTTCGCGCGACTCCACCTCTCAACCTGCCACCGCAGGTAGTATTATCCTCGAGAACGTTTCCACCCAGAATGTCCCGGTCATTGTTCAAGGCCCGAATCAGCAAACGGTTCTTGCGGGGCCCAGCCTTCACGTTGATGCCTGGGGTCAAGGACATCGCTATACCCCGAATGGACCGACTGTTTTCCAGGGCACGTTTTCCCCAAACAACCGTCCCGCATCTCTACTTCAAGGACAGCAATTCTATGAACGCTCGAAGCCCCAATACAAAAGCGCCACTACATCCTCCTTCAGCAGCACCCGCAGTGGGGGAGCAAAGGGCGACGGAAAGACAGATGATACGGCAGCTCTGCAAAAAGTGATCAACGATGCTGCATCCTCTGGTAAAATTGTGTTCTTCGACGCCGGATCGTATCTTGTGACGAAGACCCTCGAAATCCCTGCAAATTCCAAGATCGTGGGCGAAGCATACCCGGTCATTCTGTCCAGTGGAAGCTTTTTCAATGACATTGCCAACCCTAAGCCCGTTGTTAGAGTCGGGGCATCTGGCGACAGTGGCCAGGTCGAATGGTCTGATATGATTGTCAGCACACAAGGCGCTCAGGCAGGTGCTATTGCTATCGAGTGGAATCTGGCTTCCTCCTCCAATAGCCCATCTGGAATGTGGGATGTCCATGTACGGATTGGAGGATTTGCGGGTTCCCAGCTTCAAGCTGCGCAGTGTCTTGCAACCCCAGGGACTGCTGTGACTTCTGAAACGGTAAACAAAAATTGCATTGCTGCGTTCATGTTGATGCATATCACGTCGTCGGCAAGTGGATTGTACATGGAGAACAACTGGCTCTGGGTTGCGGACCAGTAAGTCCATACTTGCTCCTTTTCGCAATCAGACATTTTGCTGACCAGCTAGTGATCTCGACGGTAATGGCCAGATTACCATCTACAGCGGCCGTGGCTTGAATATTGAGAGTACCCAGGGAAATATTTGGCTGTGAGTCTGGCTCCAAAATAAAGAAAGCAAAGTGCAGAGAAGCTAATCACCTCTTAATGTGCAGCTCCGGTACCTCAGTAGAGCACAACGTTCTTTACCAATATCAGCTCGCTTCGACAAAGAATATCTACATGGGACAAGTCCAGACGGAGTCCGCGTGAGTACATATTCATCCAAACATCGGCACAAGCCTCACTAACGAACATACCAGGTATTACCAACCCAACCCTCTGGCCACAACTCCTTTCCCGGTTGTTCCATCACTTCATGATCCCGACTTTGCAGATTACTGCTCAGGCAAAGGCGAGCATTGCTCCGAAGGTTGGGGCCTGCGGGTCCTGGACTCGACAGATATCTTCGTGTATGGTGCCGGCCTATACTCGTTCTTCGACAACAACGATGCTTGTAAGTATCACACTCCTTATATCACCTTACCTACACTTCAACTAACATTTTGCAGCATGCTCGGCTCAAGATTCCGGGAGGAGCTGCCAGAACTCGATTTTCAGTTTAAAAGGCTCGTCGTCGATCAGCGTCTATAATCTGAACACCGTGGGCTCGGACAGTATGGTTGATATTGATGGTAGAAGTGCTGCCAAGCAGGCGGATAATGCGAATGTCTTCAATGAGAACATCGCACTCTTCAGAATGTGATTTTGGTGAGTTGGCTTGCCAGGTACCGCTATACCGCTATACCGCTGATCAGTGGGCTGCAAGAAGGATATCTCATTCTGCATCACTCTTTGCATTCGGTGGGCTGTGCATTTGGACCATGAATTTGCGGAATGGCATAGCTGGCAAATTGCAAGTTGCCTAGGGGCATTTCGAAGGGCGTGTTGGATCGTGAGCTTCAAGACCGAAGGCTCTGGATACGACATGTGGTATGTTCGCGCTTAAAGTGGGTCTCCTAGGCTCTATTGCTACACTGCTATATGAATTATTTGCCGGTTTCTCGGATCTTGAGGCCCAGTTGTAAGGGCAAAGTCGCGTATACATCCCAGTGAGCCCAGATGCCATGTGAGTCCCGCATATCGTATCTCCACTCATTGTGTATGCCTCACGTGTATCCCGACAAATGTGAGTAGAGCTCCCAGGAATCAATCACCGCTTTCCAGGAATAAGATGAGAATTGTTAGGAACTAGCTAAGTTAAACCTCTTCTGCGCGAGCATGTAATGGCGAAAGAGCAAGATGAAAAGCCCACTATGTGCTTTCTGAAGCGTATATATATTGTGCTCTCCCTACATGATCACAGATACCAGCTCAACAATCTATATCTTCTCCAGCAGATTACATGTAAACCTCGCGATTGACATGAGACGCTTTTACATTTTTATTTTCATCACGTCCTGGAATCCTGCTCATCTCCAATGGGTATTGGGCCAAGTATTGGGCGATCCCTTGCACCGTGAGCGGTGCATATGGGTAGGAGATGACGGGAATCACTGTTAAAACACCGTGCCGCTTGACTCCCGGATAAATGGAGTATTATGCTTTCAGCTGTCCCTGAACCCCCCCTTTCGCGTATCCATCGGCACAGGGATTTTCATCGGCTGCAAAGCAGTTATTTTGCTTTGAGTACAGGCGCCATCGCTGTCGGCCAAATGTGTGGGCCAGCCGATTTTTGAATTTGTTGGACGTGCGCCGAGACTAAGCCAAGGATGTCACGATTTGCTCGGAATCTCATGATTTGGCTTCATTGGTACATCAATGGCCAACCAGCATGTCCTATAATGTCGCCACTGCCGTGTTCTCTAATGAGGCCGTCTCAGAAACAAAGGGACCGCCTGGCAAAGAAGCAAAACCAGCGATAAACTCCTAGGTGCATTTAGGTTGGCCCGAGCCGTGAAAATCGAGGATCCGGACTTTCTCCAGACCATAAGCGGCTTTAATTATGCTGTCTGTTACGTGCCTTAAGCATAAACATGGAATTCACGAATAACCTAAGAGTTCTATATGTCCTGTCAAATTGGTGGGGGCGACTGATATGCTCTTCTCTTACTGACCTTGGGCCTCTTAGATTTCGATGGTAAGTAAATGGTAAGGATTTTCATTTAGAGGCTTTAATATATATACTAATTATTAACTAGCATAGAAAGACAGAAAAACGACCCTTCGATCTATGAGAACGGCCTTGGCTTATACTGGTAGATCCAGCATCTACTAGACGATAGTGATGAAAGCTCACCTGTGCCACACGCGATTATAGACACTATCGCACACGTCCCCGCAAATCATGCCGACCAGAGTCTCACTCGTCATGAAGTAAGAGCTATAATAAATATGATGCTCATTCGAACATCTCATGGTCCTTTCCGGAGATATCTTATCCACCCAGTAAGTAACCTACACTATACCTAGGTATGATCGTCTTACGTCTTACTAACCCCCTGTCTCTACGTACATATAGTTATTAGTTCTCTCCTATATGGGCGAACAGCACGGAAGGATCCTTCAAGCTTCATTCGATGGAGAAAATTTGGTTCTACAGTATGTATAATGATCAGTCGAGTCACGTGATAACAAAGCCCCCGCGCTGACATCAGCAAACGACGCCAGACCCAAATGGGTAAACCATCAACAGCCAGTGCGGCAAAACAATCAATTCCCTCCACCTCCCCCATCTGACTGATCTATGCACTCTGCTAACGCGCAAAACGCCGTTTCGGGGCCGCAATCATGAGGATTACTGAAATTGTCATAGATGTGAGTCTCAACATTTTTCCATCGCTATTCACTGCGCTAACTAGATCGTTAGGGATTCAAATCGTACGCTGTGCGTACGGTGATCTCGGGATGGTATGCAATCCCCCACCTCCAAGCATGAAGCAAATCATACCTTTCGCAAACTCTAGAGGTGATCAAATTTACTAATCGCGCAATGTAGGGACGAAGCCTTCAACTCGATCACCGGCCTGAACGGTAGTGGTAAATCCAACATCCTCGACGCCATTTGTTTCGTGCTTGGTATCACCAACATGACCACGGTGCGCGCGCAAAACCTCCAAGATCTCATCTACAAGCGCGGCCAAGCTGGTGTCACAAAAGCCAGTGTTACAATCGTTTTCGACAACCGGGACACCGCGAAGTCACCGATCGGATTCGAGGAATATGCGAATATCTCCGTCACTCGACAGATTGTGCTGGGCGGCACAAGCAAATATTTGATCAACGGCCACCGTGCACAACAGCAGACCGTTCAGAACCTGTTCCAGAGTGTCCAGCTGAATATCAACAACCCCAACTTCCTCATTATGCAGGGTCGCATTACGAAAGTCCTGAACATGAAATCGGTCGAAATCCTGTCGATGATCGAGGAGGCAGCTGGTACACGAATGTTTGAGGATCGACGAGAAAAGGCAAACAGGACAATGGGAAAGAAAGAGCTGAAGCTGCGCGAGATCGAAGAACTGCTGAAGGAAGAGATTGAACCTAAGCTCGAGAAGCTCCGGTCCGAGAAGCGAGCCTTCCTCGACTTCCAACAGACGCAGAACGACCTCGAGCGTTTGACCCGACTTGTTGTCGCCCATGACTATGTTCGTGGCGGCGAGCGGTTGAGAATTGCAGGCGAAGAGTGCGAAAACAAGCGTAACAAAGCGCAGGCACTCGAAGACAATGCGAACAAGCTCAAAAATGAAATTGCTCACCTGGAGGAGGACGTGAAACGAGTGCGCACAGCTCGCGACAAGGAACTCCGAAAAGGCGGCAAATTCCAGGGGCTTGAAGATGAGGTCAAGAACTACTCGCACGAGTTGGTCCGAATGACCACGGTCTTTGATTTGAAGAATGCAAGCATGGAGGAAGAGAAAGAGAAGCGACAGACTATTCAAAATACTGTCACCGATCTTGAGAAAGTCTTGAAGGAGAAGCGCAAGATCTATGAGAAGCTACAGGCCCAGTACGATACCGCCAAGGCCGAGCTGGACGCACAAAATCTAGAGGTGGAGCAAAAGGAGGAACTTCTCCAGACATTGCAGACTGGTGTTGCCTCAAAGGAGGGCCAAGAGAGTGGCTATCAGGGTCAACTGCAAGATGCCCGTAATCGCGCAAGCAATGCCGCCACGGAACAAGAGCAGGCAAAGCTCAAAATCAACCATCTTGAGAAGCGAATCAAAGAGGAGGAGCCTCGCGCAAAGAAGGCAAAGGAGCAAAACTTGGGACTTTTGCGCGATCTCGAAGGGTTGAAGTCGCAAGCCAACAAGCTGGAGTCCGAGCTGACTCGACTCGGGTTTGAGCCTGGGAAGGAGGAGCAGATATATCAGGAGCAGACCGAGCTTCAACGGGATATCCACGACCTCCGCCAGCGGGCCGATGGGCTCAAGCGGCAGGCAGCAAACATCGATTTCAACTACGCAGACCCTCATCCCAACTTTGACCGGTCCAAGGTCAAGGGCTTGGTCGCTCAACTTTTCACCCTCAACAAAGATCAGGTTCCAGCTGCGACTGCTCTGGAGATCTGCGCCGGTGGTCGTCTTTACAATGTGGTCGTGGACAGCGCAGAGACCGGTACCCAGCTGCTTCAGAAAGGCAAGCTGCGCAAGCGCGTGACTATCATTCCCCTTAATAAGATTTCTGCCTTCAAGGCCTCCGTGGAAAAGATCGGAGCTGCACAGAACCTTGCCCCTGGAAAGGTTGATCTTGCTCTATCCTTGGTTGGATACGATGAGGAAGTTCTGGCGGCGATGAACTATGTTTTCGGCAATACCCTTATCTGCCAGGACGCCGACACAGCTAAGAAGGTAACATTTGATCCATCAGTTCGGATGAAGAGTGTCACGCTGGAGGGCGATGTTTATGATCCGTCCGGAACACTTTCCGGTGGAAGCTCCCCCAATTCGAGCGGCGTTCTCGTTACTTTGCAAAAGCTCAATGAAATCACCAAGGGACTGCGGAGCAAAGAACGACAGCTTGCGACTTTGGAAGATCACATGAAGAGAGAAAAGAAGAAGCTCGATTCCGTTCGCTCCATCAAACAAAATCTGGATCTCAAGACCCATGAGATCAAGCTTACCGAGGAGCAAATTAACAGCAACTCTTCGTCTTCGGTATGTCTCCTCCTAACCCGTTCCCCGCGATTTGCAACTGACCCGAAGTAGATTATTCAAGCTGTTGAGGAAATGAGAGCGAACATCGAACAACTCAAGAAAGACATCGCCGACGCTAAGTCTCGCCAGGCCGACGCATCCAAGGATATCAAGCGAATTGAGAAGGACATGAGTGAATTCAGCAACAACAAAGACAGCAAATTGGAAGAACTGCAGACTACGCTCGATAAACTCAAGAAGAGCCTCACCAAGAATTCTAGCTCAGTCAAAGAGCTGCAGAAGGAATTACAGACTTCCAGACTAGACTCTGAGCAAGTTGGAAGCGATTTATCCGCGGCCGAGGAGCAATTGGTTGAGTCGGACAACACCCTCAGTTCCCAAGTAGAGGAGATTGAATCACAAAAACGGGAGCAAGCGCGGCTAAAGGTATGCGATGCCCTCGCAACACTACTCAATAGTCATTTGACTAACAATTATAGGATGCCCATGATATCGCGCAGGCTCGGCTTGATGATGAGAGGGCCAAGCTGACCGGGTTTGACGAGGAATTGCGAGAATTAGAACAAGCCATGAAGAGCAAATCCTCTCAGATCACTGAGGATGGACTAGA